TCAAAACGCTTTGGCAGTAAGGTGTGGGTCACCCCACCACATAAAGAACCCCAACCAGCTGAGGCTCTGGCTGAGGACAAGGAAATATGGAATTAATAGAAGGAAACTGAAGATATCAACTACAGCCTTATGCCCAATTACAGAAACAAAGGCTCTAAACTTTCTCTTTGCTGTTATAGGCAAGGATTTATTTGTATATGATAACCAGTTTCTTCTTCTTTCTCCTTCTTCCTGTTATTATTTTATAGATCAGTGGCTGGAAGTTAACTTTACAGCTTAGCCTTTAGGTAAAAGAATTCAGTGGGATGTGACTAAATTTGACATTTCATAATATAATATAAACAGCAATGGATACAATAACTGTGGGGACCATGAGTCTCCTCATTTTAGAGAAATGATGAGAACTTTTAAGACAGACAGTTTTATCTTATTACGTAGAAGTAGAGTTCAGGAATTCAAGTGTGTGTAGAAGGGTACATCTGGATGCTGAGTAGCCAAAGAAGTGGAATGTGATATTTATCAATTCATTGTCTCTCAGCTCCAAATCCATCCTTCCTTCCTCTGCTCTGAAAAAACGAAGTTTAATATTTTTCCTTTATCAGCTGGCACAATTTTAAGCTTCATCTGCAAGGACATTATTAATTAGTTTCCTATTCTGCATAGCAAAGGACCATAAACTTAGAGGCTTAAGACAGCATATACATTTGCTATCTCAGTTTCTGTGGGTCAGAAGTCCAGGCACAGTTTAACTGGGTCCTCTGTGCAAGACTCATAAGGCTGCAATTAAGTGTTGTTTGGGCTGCATTCTCATTTGGAAGCTGGATTGGGGAAGAATCTGTTGCCAAGCTCATTCAAATCTGCAGAATTCATCTCCTTAGAACTGTGTACTTGAAGGCCTCAGCTTCTTACTGGCTGTTAGATGGATGCTGCCCTCAGGTCCTAGAGGCCACCTCCATTTCCCTGCTATGTGGCCCTATCCATAGGTAGTTCACAACATACCTGTTTGCATTTTTGAGGCCAGCAGGAAAGTTTCCTTCTTCAGTATGCTAAGATGGAGTTTTACATAAAGAAATATATTTTGGGGAGTGACATTCCACCATCTTTGGCATATTCTAATGGTTAGGGGCAAGATACAGATCTCCTCTGGACTCAAGGAGAGAGGATGATACAAAGGCATAGATCTTTCATGGTCACTTTAGGGTGTGTGTATACCACATACTAAAGAGACACTGCAAAAGGCAAGAGCTTTTTTCCTGGTTCTGGAATGCTCACTGGACAGGTTCCTGCAGTACACATGGCTTCACGAGTAGCTGGCTCCTGCAGCCTGAGTGGTTTCTCCAGTGCTGAGCTCCTGTGGAGTAAGTGGCTGCTTCTGCGCTGACCAACGCCTGCAGTGCACAGGGTCAGCAGTGCACACAGGCCAGCAACATCACCTGGCACTGCCACTTCTTCCTCTCAGATGAGTCCTTGGGTGTTACACCTCAGCCCTCGGCTGTATGGTTGGTTTTATCCAATATTCTAGTACTCTGTAGGGTTTTCTTTGCTTTTTACTAGTCCACAGCCCTTGTTTCTCTAATTTCATTGTTATAATTTTTATATTAAAACTTTTTTGTTGAAGGAAAAACTGAAGGAACAAAACAGCAGCAGAATCACAGAACCCAAGAAGGGACTAACAATTACCAAAGGGGAAGAGACTGGGGAAAATGGGAGGGTAGGGAGCGATAAGGGCAGGGAAGAAGAAAGGGGTATTATGATTAGCATGTATAATGTGGGGGGTGGGGGAAAGGGGAGGGCTGTGCAACACAGAGAAAACAGTAGTGATTCTACAACATTTTGCTATGCTGATGGACAGTGACTGTAATGGGGTTTGTGGAGGGGACTTGGTGTAGGGGAGAGCCTAGTAAACATAATATTCTTTATGTAATTGTAGATTAATGATAACAAAAAAAGGGGGGGATTACTCCCTGATAGGATAAAATTAACTATAAATCAATGATTAATGCATGCTTTACATATCCTTAATTTTGATCTTTTAAAGGGTGTCAGAAGATCAGCTATGGAAGTACATTTTTCTGACAATATTTCCTTCTCTTAAAAAAAAAAAAAGCAGTTCCTGTGTGGTGGTCTCCAATAGGTTCTTCACAATGGTATAAAGGTCATATCAAAGTGTGGGCAAAGGGTTTGTTTGTGTTTATACAGAGGATCAAAGCCTAATTTGGCTACCCAGAAAACGAATTAAGATACGATATGAAGAACTTCCAACATCAACATCCTCTGGAAGAGTCATTCCAGAAGATGATCATCAAAAAACTTCAACAAAGATCCTGG